TCGCATCATGCAGGTCGGCGTTCAATCCCCCGACCGTCCAAGTGGTTGGGAACCATTCCTCCCCCCTGTCCCATCCCAAATCCTTATCCTGACCCCATCCAAGTGCTGTATAGTCGTAATGGCTTGGCTCTTTCCCCTGAGACGTCCCTTCTGTTAATTGCTCACTCGCCCATTTTGGGTCGTTCTGTATTAAAAGACACATACCATTGTGCTACTCTTTGATTACAAAATTAAAAATCAAAAATGAAACCTTTGCAAAGCTTTGAATCACCTTTACATACACACAAAATGTAAGATATTTTTTTGAGAAATGTCAGTTAACTTATCATACTTGCATAGTATGCATTTACAAAATATTTGTTTGGTTTAAGGGAAATTGTTGCATCTGCGAGTAAACGCTGCAATGATTGGATGCAACACCAGCAGTACCAACACCACCACAGCAACACCAGCAGTACCAACACCACCACAGCAACACCAGCAGTACCAACACCACCACAGCAACACCAGCAGTACCAACACCACCACAGCAACACCAGCAGTACCAACACCACCACAGCAACACCAGCAGTACCAACACCACCACAGCAACACCAGCAGTACCAACACCACCACAGCAACACCAGCAGTACCAACACCACCACAGCAACACCAGCAGTACCAACACCACCACAGCAACACCAGCCAGAGATGCAGCAGCAGCAGCACCAGCAGTAACGAGGGTAGCCAGGAGCACAAAGCCACAAATGAGAAGGCCAGAGGGGGAAGGGTACCTCAATTGCCCTCCCAGCAGAGGGAAGAAGAGGCGCTGAGTGCCTCCCCTCAGGAAAACTTTCATCTCCTGGGTTAATTGTGGAAGATTAGAGGCGCAGGTTGGAGGTAATAGCCAGGTGCCCGGGACGGACTCCTTCCTCCCAAACCATAAAAGATAAAAATCTGCTTTTGAAATGAGTGAGAAATTACGTTTCTCTCTCATCTTCTTTCGTCCCACTTATTTCGATGGACCCCCTTACCCGTTCACCCTCTCTCTCTCTCTCTCTCTCTCTCTCTCTCTCTCTCTCTCTCTCTCTCTCTCTCTCTCTCTCTCTCTCTCTCTCTCTCTCTCTCTCTCTCTCTCTCTCTCTTACTCCCTCTCACATCCCCCCCTCTCCACTTGACTTAATTGGCTTGCTTCACTTGCGTTGTAATTTTTATTATAATAATATCTCCTGCGTTTTTTCTTCAGCAGCTCTTTGGGCTTCTCTCAGACAGCTCTCCCTACCCCCCTCCCCTCTCTCTCTCTCTCTCTCT